TTATTCGATGGGTTGTATGATTTCTGTCGCATTTATTCTGGATCCTCGATCGCCGCCGCTAATAAACTGTGTCAAAGACAAGCAGATATTTGTGTCAATTGGAGTGGCGGACTGCACCATGCCAAGAGTTATGAAGCATCAGGCTTTTGTTATATCAATGATATTGTGTTGGCGATTAGACATTTGTTAAGGTGCGGAGATTTATGGAATGTGAAGAGCATATATATTTATTGGATAGAATGTCTTAATTGTGACAGATATCTGTACTTGGTCGACTGTGTCTCATTTATCGGTTTATCGCTGTTTGTTATACCCCCAGATATTATCCACGCGTGCTATACATTGACATTGATATTCATCACGGAGATGGCGTTCAAGAAGCGTTCTACACAACGGACCGCGTAATGACAGTTTCTTTTCACAAATACGACGGCGAATATTTTCCCGGTACTGGCGACCTCAATGAAATAGGCTGTGGCCTTGGTAAATACTTTTGCGTCAACGTTCCCCTCAAAGATGGAGTTGATGATGACAGCTATGTGACACTTTTCAAAGATGTGATGACCCAAGTCAATGAACGTTATAAACCATCAACGGTTGTGCTTCAATGTGGCGCAGACTCATTAGGGCTCGACAGACTCGGAGCGTTCAATCTGTCAATTAGGGCTCACGGAGAATGTGTACGGTTTATCAAATCTTGGGGATTGCCTTTGCTAGTGCTTGGCGGCGGCGGGTATACTATTCAGAACGTTGCTAGATGCTGGACTTATGAGACGAGTATTTTGGTCGATGCTGAATTACCAGACGAGATACCGGCGAATAGCAGATGGTTGCCAGTATTTATGCCCGATTTCAAATTGCATCCGGATTTGGTGCGTAAGATGGATAATCAAAATACAAAAAATGATTTGGGAAGGATAAAGACCACTATATCAGAACAATTGAGATACTTGGAGGGAGCACCAAGTGTACAAATGCAAGAGATTCCTGGAGGATTACAAGAATTCTTGGAAAAGATTGAGGAGGAAGCAAAGGATGCAAACGAGGAGAATAACAGCGATGTAAGAGTCAGCAGACGTCCATTAATCAATATTGATTGAATCGGAAATATTGGGAGCCGGATATGATCGTTGCAACAAATTCTAGAATTATATCTTAGAGTTATTATCTTCATTCTAATGATAAATCCTTAAGATACAGTGTATATGTCTGCGCTACATTTCCGAAATCCGTTTTACGGTATTTATTAATGTAAATTTTTTTATTAGAGATCATTCCATTTTATAAAATCACCCACACTATTAGCCAATCATTCTAGGTTGTATTGATAATTTTCTCGTATCTAGATTGACACTTTATACAGTTTCAAAAACAGTGTCATAGAGCAGCTTCAATTTGAACCTTCTCTTTCTTTGGCTTTGTTATGCGAGGCCAATCACCTGTAGTTTTTTTTTATGTATGAATAATGATGAAACGGTTTCCTCTCTCCAACCGAATATTAGCATTTAGCGCCCTTACCCTCAGTTTCCTCGGTATTTATAGCTTTAATATAATCTATTTCAAGACTGAATTGTCCAGATTGTGCTAAAAGAGAAA